CTAAGTGCTATTGCTATTGCCCAAACTAGATAATATCACCTGTGCTAGACTAGCTAACACTGATGATGTTGCCTAGTTTGGGTAAGGAAACATCTGCAAGAAAACCGCCGAGTTCAGAGAGCACCAAGGACCCGTCCGTTCAATCCTGAGTTACAAAGATTCTCCTTCATTGATAGAGAAGAATTGACAGAGAAGAAAACAGGAAGCCCCAACAGTTTGACTGGGTGACTTCAGGCCAGTCAGGTCTCACCCTCACTCTCCTCCAGCCTACCTCATTCACTTTTTTTTGTTTTTTGCTGCCATCATAAATGGGTTAATTTCTGGACTTTGATTAAATATATTTCATGATTTTTCATCTTAACAACATGGCCTACTTTAAAAAAACAAAACAAAAAACAAACTCATATGTCATTTTTTGTGTGTGTCGATATCTCACAATACAGAGAGCTTCATGTAGAAACTGGAGAAGATCAGCTGATAAGGATAAAGCGCCATTCACATTAAGGAAATGACAAATTCTGACTAATCATGATAAGTGGCTATGTAAATTATACGGGGACATTCTGAGCTATCCATTGCAATTGCAAATAGATGAAGCCTCTGCAGTAAACTAGAAAGGAATCCAGCAACTGTATCAATAACAAAGACTGCAAATCTATTTGTCATGGATGGATAGCAGGTGAAAAATAATTCCCTTCTGGGAAGCGGAACTCTTTGGCTCCGTTTCTGTTTCCATGTTCGATTAGCATGTTTTTTAAACTAAATGTTGCAAGGCAGTGGGGTGAGTTTGGATATCTGTCTGTCTGTCATCCAACCATCCATCCACCCACCCATCCATCCATCCATCCTATCTATCTATCTATCTATCTATCTATCTATCTATCTATCTATCTATCTATCTATCTATCTATCTATCTATCTATCTATCTATCTCTATCATCTATTATCTTTATCTATCTATATGTATATCATCTGTCTGTCTGTCTGTCTAGCTAGCTAGCTAGCTATATTTATCATCTCTATCTATTATCTATCTATCTACCTACTTATCTATGTCTCAGCTGTTTCAGACAGGAAGGGAAACAAAGGTCTCAAGGTAATGATCAAATAAAACTTTATTTGTCCATACAATGCTCCGGATTCAGGTAACAACGAGTAACCAAAAGGAATTAAAGTCAGCTCTGGTGCACCTGGCAGCCAGAGCTGTATTTATACACCAGTTAACAACTTAATGAGTTTATCCACCATCCGGTGAGCATTACTGCATCACATCCGATCACCATGTAATACCCTATGCACCATACTTTTATCTATTAATTATCGAGCCCTATTTACCATATTTGTACAAATATGATATATATTCCCTCATTGTATTTACACCTATGAAGTGACCCTCCACCCCTCTTGAGATTGTTAGTTCAACAGGCAGCATCTTAATCACTTTGTCTACAACCGCCCACAGGCTGTAACAGCTCAGCGTGTGACGTCAGCAAGGCTCGTTATCTCCGTCAAACAGTCGAAACCCCAGGTTGGGTGATTAACAGCACTTCCCCACTCGATAACATAGTCTGATATGGTACAACGCATGGTGTCACGGCTCCAGCATGCCCTGGAGACATGACATATGTACTAGTTATCTCTATCTATCTATCTATCTATCTATCTATCTATCTATCATATATTTATTATCTCTATCTATCTATATAATCTATCTATATCATCTATCTATCTCTATTCATCATCTATCATCTCTATTATCTATCTACCTATCTACCTATTTACCTACTTGTCTATGTACTTGATCTCTCTCTCTCCATCATCTATCAATCTATCTATCCATCATCTATCTATCTATCTACCTACCTATCATCTATCTACCTATCATCTATCAACCATCTATCTCTATCTATCTATCTATCTATCTATCTATCATCTATCTATCTATCTATCTATCTCAAGAATTGGTTTTCTATTTTAGATTTGTCCAGTGTGTGTGTGTGTGTGTGTGTGTGTGTGTTTAAATAATAAGACTAAGTTTGAGATTTCAAGTCATTCAGCACCCAGAAAGATGGATTCGGCTCAAACGTGTGTTGCATTTCAAAGGAGAAAATAATATTTTGTACATTTCAAAACTAAAATGCCATGGCAGAATGCCAGATGTGATGATGTCCAATCCCAGATTTCTTGGAGAGAGAGAGAGAGAGCTTAAAAAGTCTGAAGTCAAGTTAAACACTCTTCGAGTCAATGAGAGAGGAAGAACATTATCCAAGGCTCAATTGACTGTTCATAATTTATTTACTTTCAGCGAAAGCATAATGAAAGGATGCTTTCCAGGTGTGGCGACTGGAGTCTGGAATCTCCCTCTCGAAGACTATAGGTCACCCCTCCAGTTTTCCATAAAAGAAGCGAAGGACGTTTTCTGAGCTAAAGCAATCTTAATTGGAGTCAAGGGTGTACTGAGGAAAGGATGAAATACATAAACATGCCATCTTGGAATTCCACCCTTGAGGTTTTTTTATTCCCCGAATGATCTGCATCTCGCATAAAAGAATGAACCCAGCAGTTACGTATGTAAATAATGGCGGTTTTCTGGGAAATCTTTGCAATCCAAAGCTAGAGGAAAATGACCACTGCCTTTCTTTTGTCTCCAAAGGGGCTTGTTTACACGGCTCTGAATCTTCGGGGAAGGAACAAAAGCAGATGTGAACTAGGGCTCGAATAGGGGAAAAAAAAAATAGCAACCCAGAACCAACTCATTGGTGCTTGATCAGATTATGATCTACACTAAAACTAACACAATGTTGTAAAGATAAACATTGAAAGGAACCCCACCAATACCATCATCAGACTTTTATTATTTTTATTCCAGTTCAGCCATTTTATCAGATATTTTAAGGTGCCGTCGCGCCCTAATTTAATTTCTATGAATATTCTTGTAGCGGTACACCAATAATATAGAGAGAATGACAGAGTTGGAAAGGACCTTGGGGGGGTCTTCTAGTCCAACCCTCTGCTTAGGCAGAAAACCCTACACCACTTCAGACAAATGGTTTTCCAATTCAGTCTTAATAACTTTCAGTGCTGGAGCATTTACAACTCCTGGAAACAAGTTGTTCCATTGATTAATTGTTTTCACTCAGGAAATTTCTCCTTAGTTCTAGGTTGATTCTCTCCTTGATTAGTTTCCACCCAGTGCTTCTTGTCCTGCTCTCAGGTGCCTTGGAGAATAGCTTGCCCCTTTCTTCTTTGTGGAAGCCCCTGAGATATTGGAAAACTGCTATCCTGTCTCCCCTAGTCCTTCTTTTCACGAAAATAAGAGCATATCTGCATTCCCCTCCTTCTAAAAGATTGAGAGCTCCAGCTTTCTCAGTGTGAATTAGATTAAACACTATCTACACGCTATCTTCACTCAGAAGAGACAATCAAAAAGCCCGAAAGGAAAGGGGAAAAAAAGACCAAAACACTTCCTTACCTGCAATCAACACCCAGATGAGTAGAGATTAACCCCAAAATTAACACTAGACCAACAATCAACAATTAGACCATACCCCAATCAAGGAGACAAACAAGCTAACAGCAAACAACAGCGTACAAAGAACTATCTAGGCAGTCTCACCAATAGTAACAGGGCAAGCCACTAGCGTATAAAAATAAGAGCAAACCCCACTCCCTTCTAATACTGATGATATTACCTAATTTGGTAAAGAAATGTTTGCAAGAAAATAATAAAACTTAGAGAACACCAGGCACCAGCGAAACCATTATTATATTCTCAGATCTGATCTAAATTTGACGTTTCTTCTTAACCCTACTTTGATGACCAGAATCACCCTAGCCATTTTACTCATGGCTCATCCATAACTTTCTTTCCATTCAAAATTTAAACTGCCCAGTTTCCAGCACATTTTCACAGGCGCTGAGAGCTTTATTATGGGAGAAAAATAAATACTTGGAGAAGAACAATATGCTAACTATAATAAATATATTTCCAAAACACAGGTCAGAGATCACTATGAATCATTTTAGCAAGGACACTTGGAACTGCTTAATTCTCTGGAACTTTATGTTCAAGTCCCAAACTGTTTTCCAGAACTTTCAGGATCTTCTCCTAGATCATCGGAGATCATAAGATAACCTTTTAGATAGCCTAAAATCCAAAGGGATCATTTGTGTTTCCTGTGCATCTGCTTATAAAGCATGGAGTTCTTTCTTTGGCTGGTGCATTTGCTACCATCTGTACAATTTCCATTGAAAAAATAAACAAAAGAGAATCTCTGTATATCAGCAAATCATGTTCACCGCCATTTGTTTCTGCAGTAGAGTAACAGAAAACACTAACTTTCACCTTTTAAAAACATAATGTGTTTGCAATATTTCCTGTACTACAATGGGAATTTTTCCATAGTCTTAACAAGGAATTCTTACATTGATGTGCCATTTTTAAGAGGGAGCGAGGGAGGGAGGGAGGGAGGGAGGGAGGAAGGAAGGAAGGAAGGAAGGAAGGAAGGAAGGAAGGAAGGTAAAACGAGGGAGGGAAGGAGGGAGGGAGGGAGGGAGGGAGGGAGGAAGGAAGGTAAAACAAGGGAGGGAGGGAAGGAAGGAGGGAGGGAGGAAGGAAGGAAGGAAGGTAAAACAAGGGAGGGAGGGAAGGAAGGAAGGAGAAAGGAAGGGAGGGAGGGAAGAAGCCTATCCTTTTCTCACACTTTTTGTATTACTGATTTGTAAAAAGACTTGAAAGGAAAAGTACTGAGATTAATGCAAACAGAAACTGCAAAAGAAATAATGTTGCAATGTTTTTCTTACCAAGAAAGCTACAAATTTCTTGAGCTCACCAGTGACACATACCCGTTCAGAAATACTACCAGCAATCATCGTTCCTTTGCTGAAATAAAGAATCTAATAGATGCATTTGTTGCCAGTAGAGGTCTGCTGGAGCTGTTTTAAAATAACAAAATTCTAACTTGGCCAAATAGACCATTCTTAGAGGTGGTACATCATCCTCAGACCGCCGACTGACTGGACAGAGTTGGAACGAAGTCTAACGATCAAATAAAAAGACTTACCCTTTATAGTTAATTCACAACAATATGGTTTTGCATCAGCATGGCTGAATTTCTATTTACCTCTGTGGTGGGTGAGATTCCTTGTTCCAGAAGGCAGAGGTGTATAGGACGTCTGAGCGGAGGTAGAACTATCTTCCATGGAATCCTGTAACAATAAAACTTGAGTAATTAATATTAAAGTGTGTACAGATACTCCTTGACTTACAACAGTTTCTTTTAATGATGGCTTGAAATTACAGCATCAATCAGACTCAATCAATCAGAATAGAGCTGGAAGGGACCTTAAAGGTCTTCTAGTTTAACCCCCTGCTACAGCAGACCTTATACCATTCTTGACAAATGGCTGTCCAGTCTCTTCTTATGATGGAGCACCTACAACTTCTGGAGATAAGTTATTCCACTAGTTAATTGTTCTCACTGTCAGAACATTTCTCCTTAATTCCTGGTTGCTTCTCTCCTTGATTAGTGTCCATCCATTGCTTCAATGAAACCATGGAACAGAAGTTTCCTTTGGAAGTTGTGGGAGCTTCACCACTGGAAGCTTTCAAGAAGAGACTGGACTGCCATCCGTCAGAAATGGTGTAGGGTCTCCTGCTTTGGGGGGGGTTGGACTAGATGACCTACAAGGTCCCTTCCAACTCTGCTATTCTGTCAGGAAGGAAAAGGTTCATTTAAGTTCTTGTCCTGCCTTCAGGTGCTTTGGAAAATCGGCTGACCTCCTATTCTTCTTTGTGGCAGCCCTTCAAATACTGGAATTCTACTATCACATCACTGAAAAAAGTGACTTATGACCATTTTTCATAGTTTTGACCATTTCAGCAAAGTCAATGGGGAAGTCCGATTCATTAACAACTGTGTTTACTAATTTAACATCTGCAGTGATTCACTTAACAACCGTGACAAGAAAAGGTCGTAAAAGGGGGGGAAACTCACTTAATCACTATCTTGCTTAAGCAACATACATTTTAGGCTCCGTTGTGATCGTAAGTTGAGCCTTAGCTACATCCAGTTAAGCCCATGATGGCGAACCAATGGCACGCGTGCCATAGGTGGCATGCAGCCATTTGTGCCGGCACGCAAGCTGCAGGCAAACTTACCTCACTGCGCATGTGCGTGCCTCACAGCTGATTTTTGGCTGAAAATCGGCCTCCCAGTGGTTTGAGGAAGGCTTCTGCAGGCTTTGCAGGATGAAAACTAGGCCCATTTCATCACTTCCTGTTTTTCCAGAAATATCGGAAGTGATGAAATGGGCCTATTTTTTGTCCTGAAAAGCCTGCAGAAGCCTTCCTCAAGCCTCTGGGAGGCCGAAAAAGGCCTCAAACCGGCCGAAAATCAGCTGTGAGGCACAGTGCAGGTAAGGGGGCGGCGGCATGTGGGTGGAGATTGCGTGCGCATGCATAGGGGGCGTAGGGGGGGGCGTGCATTGCCTTCTGGATGCTATCATGCGCATGCAAGCAAGCACACAATTTTTGGCAATTATCGTCCATTTACAATTATTATTGTAAACTAGAGTGCAGTTAGTTTCACTTTTTATGGGAAGCACCTTGGACCACTCAGTCTAGCCTAACTAAATGTTCCCAAATATAATGTACATAGGTCTATTAAGTAAAATAAAACATAAATGATTCATTCCTTTGTATTTTTTTAAAAAAATAGATAAAATGTGTGATTGTTACAAAAGTTGCATAAACATAGAAAATTCACAGAACTTATGTAATGGCTTAGCAAACATCAGAACACTAAAATAACCTTTCTAAGAACACTTGGTCCAGATTACAGTTTTAAGCACACCTTGGATCAAATTATTGTGCCCAGGGTGACAAAGTTTTTCAAATCAAATTGCATTTACTAACAACATTTAGGTTGGCAATATCTAGTTATTACTGAGGCACATTTTTAAAGTTAAAGATGGTTATTTCCTGGTAAATAACATTTGGTATATATTCTTGTAAAATATGTTTTAATATTAGGCCAACTGCTATAAGCAATGTTTTTGCTAGAAATCAAAGGTGAATATCAAGCAATGAACACAAGGAATCAGTGGCAGGAAGATAATTACATGTATTGATCATTAAATGCACTCTTACGGTGAAAATAAAATGTGTTTTTAAAAATGCAGTCACTGTTCCATTGCAACAATTTTTTAGTTTACTCAAAAATGCTTAAGATGAATTACATGTATGTCGATCAACCAATGCGGTTTCCTTGTATCACATCTTTATTATTTTTACAAACAACTCAAGGTGGTGAACGGAGCTTGCTCCTTCCAGTTTTGGTCACCACATTACAAAAGAGAGAGAGGGGGAAGGAGGGAGGGATTTTGGAAAAAGTGCAAAGAAGAGCAACTAGGATGGTTAAAGACCTGGAGACTAACACCTATGAAAAATGGTTGTAGGATTTGAGTATGGCCAATCTAGAGAAAGGAAGGACTAGAGGTGTATGATAGCAGCATTCCAGTATTTGAGAAGCTGCCACAAAGAAGAGTGGGTCAACTTATTTTTCAAAGCACCAGAAGGCAGGACAAAAAGCCACAGATGGTAACTACTGTGTTTCTCACAAAATAAGGCTGGGCCTTATTATTTTTTTTTGGAGCCCCGAAAAAACGGCTAGGAAGTCTTTTCAGGGGTGAATTAATCCCCCCCCCCCCCCGCATACCAATGCCATCTCCAACAACAGCATCTGAGTCGCTCCTGCCTTTCCCCCATCCCCTTAACAAGAGGAAAAAAAACATTTTGAGGTACCTGGGAGTGCCGCGCGCTGCATTTTGGTTTAATTCCGAGTGGCTGGGTGGGCGTGAGAAGAGCCGAGCGAGCATCTCTGCTGCTGCTACCCTTAGTGCTCCAGCCTCTGGCTCTGCAAGTTTGCAAAAGTCCCGGTGTGCAGCCCGTTCCTGCATTCCAAGCGCCCAGGCCGAGTTGCAGCTGTCCCTCTCTCGCCAGCGCCGTCTCCAATAACAATGGCAGCAGTGGCGGGAACCGTGGAAGTTACAGAGGCGGCTCCCCCGCCTGAGAAGCGGCTGAAATGCTTCCATGGTTCCCGCCGCTGCTGCCTCTGTTATTGGAGACGGCGCTGGCGAGAGAAGGACAGCTTGGCCTGGACGCTTGGAATGCAGGAACGGGCTGCACACTGGGACTTTTGCAAACTTGCAGAGCCCAAGGCTGGAGCACCAAGGGTAGCAGCAGCAGAGACGCTCACTCGGCTCTTCTCACGCCCACCCAGCCGCTCGGGATTAAACCAAAATGCAGCACATGGCGCTCCCAGGTACCTCAACCCCCCTTTTTTTCCTGTTGTTATGGGGATGGGGGAAAATTCGAAGCGACTCAGACACTGTTGTTGGAGACAGAGCTTGCGAGAGAGGCGCCAGTGGGAAACATGGAAGCTACGGAGGCCTGAGAAGCTTAAACACTGCCAGACATCCACGTCGACACCGCCTGCCTGCTAACCCAGGTAAGGGAGGGGTAAAGGGAGCCCTCTGTGCTCCCCCATGATTGGCTGTTAGGAGCAGCTGATGGTGAGGCGTAGCTGCCTGCGGGGCACTCCTAATGGCAAGTTCCCCCCGCCTCCCCCCCCCAATTTCACATGTTTTAAACTAGGCCTAAATTTGGGGGGAGGGGCTTAATTTCATTTTATGCCTAGAAAACATGCTGGGTCTTCCTATTGGGGGGGGGGGCGTATTGTTGGGGAAACACAGTAATCAAGGAGAGAAGCAACCTGGAATTAAAGAAAAAAATGCCTAACAGTTAGGAGACAATTAACCAGTGGAACGGCTTGCCTTCAGAAGTTGTAGGTGCTCCATCACTGGAGGTTTTTAAGAAAAGACTGGACAACCCATTATCTGAAATGGTATAGGGTCTCCTGCTTGAGGAAGGGGTTGGACTAGAAAACCTCCAAGATCCCTTCCAATTCTATTCTGATGGATGAATGGATGGATGTTGAAGTCTTCTAATCCAGCTCCCTGCTGAAATAGGAGACTTTATACCATTCCACACAAGCAGCTGTTCAGTCTCTTCTTAAAAACCTCCAGTGATGGATCATCCACAATTTCCAGAGTAAGCTATTCCACTGATTCATCTGTTCTCGTTGTCATGAAACTCCTTCTTAGTTCGAGGTTGGATCTCTTGTTGATGCTCTTCCACCCATTACTTCTCGACTTGCCCTCAGATGCTTTGGCAAATAGGTTAATTTTCTCTTCTCTGTGACAGAGAGCAAGCTTATTGTCATAAGGCAAGGAATTCAATGTTGGTCCTTCCTCATGTTCAACCTTCCATACCAAGTTCTCTACTCTTAAAAGTCCTTTTTCCTCTACCTATCCTAACCGAAAGCCCTATCAATTGTGGAACTGACTAGTGATGGGGAACTGCAGCAGAGGGATAAACGAGCCACATGCAGCTCCAGAGCCACCGGTTGCTGACCCCTGCCCTAAACCCTGAGATTAAAAGAAATAAAAACCTGCCTATCCCAATATTCAGAACAGGAATGGAGATCTCAAGAATAGAACTAACGAAGGAAACTGACCAGGACATTTGTAGCATATGTCAAAGTTTAGCATGCAAGGTGAAGAATGGAAGACACTCATCTCCAAGAAAACTTCTCTGATGTGTCCAAGTAATCTACAACAGTATGCAAACCACAGGTGTTTTCCCTACGCTGTATTTTGACTTGTCTGCAAACCTAGGTAGTGTGTTTAAGCTTTTGTCACTTTTTTAAGAAAATGACCTATTCACCTCTCCTCTAGGTTACTCCGATGGATCAAAAGAAACTAAGCCGGTCCATTTGAGACATTTCAAATATTTTCTGCCTGCTCAAAGGCTCTTAGTTGAAACCCTGATAATAGCAAAGATTTCTCTCTAGTAGTTTTAATCTCAATTTTGGGCTGTTGACAGTTTGATGATAGCTTTTCTTAAAATGACTGGAAGGAAACTCTGCCTTTTCAGCAGAATACCACTGACAGATCAAAATCCAAGAATTTTTAAAAAGGATACTGGAGTGAAGGGACAATTTAGCTTTATTCTCTATGTTAAGAAAAGCAGTTGTTCACAGGCCCTCTTAATGCTTTTCTGTATATAATTCCCTGTCCAAAAAATAATAATAATACAGGAGTCTCATTACCTCTCCACAGAGTCTGCGGTTATAAATGCTAGTTAA